AGCCCTGGGGAGGGTTCCCAAGAGCCTCACAAGCACTGGGAGCAGCAAGCTCCCAGTGAGATGGAAGGTATCAGAGGTGGCTCAGCTTGGATTTAACAGAACCCCGTTGGCTGTTGGCTGACTGGTTCCCACGGCAGAAGCCAGCCAGGGTCATAGGACAAGGTCAGGCTGAGCTGGCCATGGAAGAGTGGGTTCTGACAAGAGATGGGACAGGAAGGGGTGTTCAAGACTTCAGGACTAGGGGCCCAAGCTCTCAAAGAACTGTCATGCACATCTATAGTGTGGTGGAGGGGTGGGTGACTACAGATCCTGTCCCCAAGTCCAGGTGGTTCTGTGAGCTGCCTCCATTTCCAGATGCTGTCCCATTATTAAATGGCACTGTGCTGGCCGGTGGCTTCTGACACCAGGTTGATCCACAGAAAGCATGGTTTACCCACACTTGTGACACCAGGTTAGACCACTGAAAGTAGGTTTACCCACACTCTGACACCAGGTTGGTCCACAGAAAGTATGTTTATCCACACCACCGGTTAAACCTGGTGAATCTATCATGAGGCCCAAACTGAAGGAACTGAGTCTCAGAGAGGGAAAACTCCAAGACCTCCTGCTTGAGTTCACATCCCAGTATGGCCACTTGCTAGATATGTGACCTTGGGCAAGTCCTTGTGACCCTAGTCCCTGCTGCAATGCAGTGAGAGGAGGCGGTATGAGGGCGACAGTGCCTTTCAAAGCTCGTCCACCCATACGCACTCCCAGCAAGAAGCCTGTCAAGCATCATGACCACGCACTCCTGGGCACTAACAATCTCCCAGCTGGGAGCATTATAAGGGTCCTCCAGGCAGGGAGGTGTGGTAGCCTTGCACTGGAAAGTATGGTCTGTCCCTCCCAGAAGCAAATTGAGTCTGGAAGAACTGATCCCAAGAGCCAGAGACATCAACTAACACACATCCCACCAAGTTCTGCTGAATACCAACTGTGTGCCACCATCCCAAGCTCCATATAAAATGACAGACGGCATAGATAAGAATCCATTCCAGAGCCAGGCTGTGGTGGCGAATGCCTTTAATCCCAGCACTTGGGAGGCAGAGGCAGGCGGATTTCTGAGTTTGAGGCCGGCCTGGTCTACAGAATGGGTTCCAGGACAGCCAGGGCTACACAGAGAAACCCTGTCTTGAAAAAAACAAAACAAAACAAAACAAAAAGAATCCATTCCAAAGGCTGGAGAGGTGGCCCAGTGGTTAAGAGCACTGGCTGTTCTTCCTAAGGACAGGGGTTTGATTCTCAGCAATCACATGGTGGCTCAGAACTGTCTATAACTCCAGGATACCTGACACCCTCTTCAGGCCTTTGTAGACACTAGGCACTCCTGGGGTACACAGACATACATGCAGACAAAACACCCTTATACATAAAATAAATGCCAAAAGAATTTGTGTCCCTAAGTTCACAAGGCACACAGTGAACAAGTGTTGTTGACTAGTGTGGACGTGAGGCTGATGGTCAGAATTAGGGAAAAAGAGTGTGTGCAGGAAATATAAGGTAGGGATGGTCCTTGTCAGGTGGTCGGGAGTCCCCTGGCAGACTGAAATCATGGAAAACAGTCTTGGGTGGATCTGGGAGAAAAGCACTCAGGTAAGGGAACAGCCTGTGCAAAGGCCCTAGAGCCAGAGGGAGCCTGACGTGTTGAAGCCAGCATGGCTGGAATGTAAAGACCTGGGGACAGCAAGAGCGGCATTCTGAGATGTAGGGTAGTAGCACCTGGACTCCAGGGACCGAGGGAAGGATCTAAGGGAGATGTGGTGACCTTGGGCTAGATACAGTGGCTCTGGCCAGAGTAGCAGAAGAGAGGATGATACATAAACTGTTCAGTCCCCATGGGGGTCACTGAACCCCAGCCCCTGGGATGGAGTGGGCTGCTTTTCTCTCCATCTGCGAGGCAGCAAGCAGAGGCTCTGGTCAAGGTTTCATGGTAGCAAGAGGAAGATCCATCCACCCACCATCCCACATAGGACAGTGCTATAAGCCTACAGGCACACGGTCTCTGCTTCCACTTTAGGGCTGCCTGCAAGCGCGCACATCACTCTCAGACCACACCTCCTCCCCTCCCACGGCCTACCCCTTTCTCTCTTTCCAATGCCACTCAGCCAGCCTTGCAGGTCCATAATGTCACAACCTTGGGCTTCCTGATACACTCCTAGCCTAGGCCAACACACACAGGACCAAGGCCCACACATCACATAAGCAACAGTCAGCGTAAGCTCGGCATCATCACTTTGCACCCCAAGACCTTGTCCCCACTCCAGGCCTGAACCTTGCCCCCTTCCCCCAGTGTGGTCCTCCCAATTCTTCTAAATATCAAACCCAGTAAAAAAAAAAAAAATCTAATTTGCAGGAAGGGACTGGAGACCGTTTAGGGAAGGCTGTTGTCCTCTGACTGTTCATAAGGACGCCCATGCCTCCTCTTAGAGGGAGGAGAAAAGGGCTCTTTAGGGTGGGGCTGGTTGACTATCGGTCTGTTCAGGAAAGGCTGGAGTGTCATCTCTGGGAAAGGGGCTCCAGGAGATGTCTCCTCACAGGTGTCCAGGGGTAGAGAAGCAAGAGCAGCCATGCTGAGGGAGGGGCTGCTGAGCATCCAGTGAGCCAGTGAGGAGCCTTGAGTTGGAGCCCCACCAGGGTGGACCCAGCTGCATGGACAGGGGCCTAGGCCTTCCCTGGCTGCAGCAGCAGCAGCAGCAAGGGAGAATAGGGCAGGATTTGTTCAGGCCTTGTTGGGATGTGTTTCCCTCTTGGAGTGAAAAAAAAAAATAAAATCATCACAGAACCCAGAAGACAGGTTGTCATGGCAACAAAAGTTTGAGGCCAGGTACATCCTGACACCCTTTGGAGCTCAGTGGTGAAGGCAAGATCTGGGGGCTGTGCACAGTAGTAAGGGAAACCCATCTGAATGACCTTAGACTGCCCAAATTTCTCATCAGCAACTATTTGACAAGCTCAGGGGAAGACAATTGTGATTTTCTGGGAGGAACAGGCTGTAGCCAAAGAAAACCAAGGGAAAGCAGCACACGGTTTTTATCCAGCAGATCACCCAGGAGCATCGTGACTAATGGGACCGGGATGAAATTCTCACATTGGCCAAGTGCTCCTGTCTCATGTCCCCTTCCCCATCAGTTCTCTGGTTGTTCTCCAGACACCAAGAAAACAATCCAAGTTCCTTCATCAACCCCTCATGAGCCTAATCTGAAAAATGGGTCTTCCACAAGTGGCTGCCTGGCCCAGAGGCTAGGAAGTAACAAGATTCCACAGGTGACAACTTCAGCAGGGCCTGGTGCTCAAAATGCACAGGAGCTAGCTAACATTGCTTTAAATATGTTTCTGTTGATACTGTTTTAAAACATAGCAGTCAAGCTTGGACATAAAGCACGAGACAAGAGATGAGCTACAGAGCTTTGGGCAGCAGCCTTCAGGAAGCTTTCAGGAGAGCCACTAGAATCCACTGAGAGCACAGGCACACTATAAAAGCAGAGGCAGGTCGGCTCAAGCTGCCAGGGACAAGGCTCATCCAGGCACTGTAGGGTGGCATGTCCCCCAGGGCAGGGCCTCACAGACCTCAGGAACTGCTGCCTGCAGTTGGAGGAGGACCCACAGCCATCCCTTCTCATTCTTTGGGCTGTCGTGTATGAAGGTCTTTGGAGACCTGAGCCTGGAAGGGAGCACATGTCTGTGGTGCTCCGTGGAGCACATGTCTGTGGTGCTCCATGGCTGCTGTGGCGCAGGAGGATCAGGCTTGTGGAAGCAAGAAGTTTTAGCCAAGAGGCTTTCCAGTTAATTTTTAGTTTTCTTTTTCTTTTCTTTTTTCTTCTTCTTTTTTTTAAAAACCACACGTCACAATGAAATCTCAAGTCCTACTCAGACATCGTGTGTCTCGGGCAAAGAGACAACATGCTCAGACAAAGTCACGGAAAAGTTCAATTGTCCCCACCACCACCACCTCCCCCAAGGCCCAGCAAGCAGCACAGGACAGATACCTCCAGTCCCTTCAGCCTGAGACCCTACCCAGCATTTCTACTTTGAATGTCACACTGCAAATATTTATTAGTAATACCCAGAAATGGGAAACACAGCAAAGACCTAACAAGAGTGAGATCTTAGAAGAAAAGGGGACAATATGCTAGTGACTAAAGACAGGCCCAGGAAATTTCAGGCTATGCTGAGAGTGAGGAAGACACAGCTGCGTAAAGAGGGAGATGCCGCTTCCAAAGGGATCCTGCCAGAACGGTAGCTTACAACAGGCAAGCTGGGGTTTGAGTCCACAGCCAGTACCACCCACCATATGGCACAGTCCCCTTTCAGGCACAGGTCCCCTGAGTGCTCCAGCCTTGTTGTCGCTTGGGGTATTTATTCACTTCAGCCCCCAGGTCTCTGGGTGAGGGGACAAAGGTGTTGGTCTACTTTCTGAAAAGCCAGCCCCCTCCCCCCGCCCCGTTCTGAAAGAGACTTGTGCTAAGCCAAGGCTTCCTGGATCCCCCAGCTCCAGTGTCCAGAGTTGCCCCTGTTTTCCCGCCTGCCTCCCTTCTCTCCCTCCTAAAGCATCCACTCCTGCATCCACTCCTGGAAGAGCTACAGGATACCCTGGCTTGTGGAAGGAAATAAGGGTGGTCATCAGACTCCCCCCTTCTCCCTGCTTTCCCCAGTCCTGTCGTAGAGGTTCAGCGCAGCTTGGAGATGAGAGGAGCCGAATCCTTGGGTTCCTGGACCCGTAGATCTGCGGCGGGAAGGGTCGCCTACACTAAAGATCCCCGGCCCCCACTATCATCTCCAGAGCCGAGACGGGGCGGATGGGAGCAAGGAGCGGCGCGCGGGGAAATGACTTCAGACCGAAGAGGGACCGCACGCCCTGGGACCAGCAGCCAGGGTGCGCGCGCGGGGGACCCGGACGCGCCACCTCCCCGGCCCGGGACCTGCGGACGCGCGTCCCCGGGGAACCCCGCGCCAGCACTCACCCGGGCCACCGAGCTCTTCCTCACACGAGTACCAGATGCCAGTGTGGAAACGGCGCAGCTGGAAGCGCTCGTCGCCCGCCTCCCAGCTGTAGGGCGCGCCGGCCGGGCTCACGGCGACGGGGGCGGCTGTGCTGTTGGCCGTGGCGTTGGCGCCCGAGTTGGGGCAGTTGGCGCCGCCGCCCTGGCCGCAGCCAGGCTTGGGCACCCGTTGCGTGCCCTGGCACCAGTACGTGGTGAGGAAGGCGGTGGTGGCGAAGAGCAGCGCCAGCAGGTTCAAGGCCACGGCCAGGAGCGCTCGGCCGCGGCGGCTCGTCTTCATGCCGCCCGCGCCGCCCGCAGCTCCTCGCGAAGTTGGCAGCGGTACCCGCGTCAGCGCCCGCCCCGGGGCTCGGGTGCCTGCGGTCGGCGACGGCGCTCGCGGCCCGGGCCCATGGCCTCCGGCGGGGACGCGGGAAGACCAGGATGAGGGGCAGTCGGGGCCGCAGAGTGGAGCCGACCAGCGCGCCCGGAGCCCAGAGCGCGAGTGCGCCTCGCCGAGCAGTCGCCGGCGCCTGGCAGCGGCCACGGCGCAGGGACGCGCGCCCCTCCGTGGGGAGACACCTGCAGGCGGCCGGCGACACTGTTCAGCGCCCGCCCGCGCGCGGAGAGGGGGCGCGCCACGCTGGGCGCGGGAGGGGGACAGAGCTGCGCGGGAGTGGAGAGGGACAAGTGAGAGATCCCAGGCAAGGCGCTCTCAAAGGAGCCTCACTCAGAGAGGGAGACCTCTCATCCCAGATCCATAGCCCTGCCAGCTAAGCGACAAGGCAGCATCTGTGGGTCTTTAGGCTGTAAGGGGCCTCTGCAAAGGTTGCAAGACCCATTTGGAGCTTAGGAAAGGATGGAGATGCAGAGCCTCGGCGTTTGAAAGGCTTGCCCCTGGTCACCTTTGGTATCTGAGACCAATCCCTATCCACAGGCTCTCTGTCACCACGCAGGAGGGCAGAGAGCTTCCAAAGAGGCAGCCTGCACAAGTGGCTGAGCAGAGGATGTGACAAACAGGCCTTCCCCACCCAGGCTAACTACACCAGAGATCCAGAACATGACCCAAGAGGCCACAAAAAGGACAGCAAATTATAGTCACCAAAAGGGGGTATCCTGCAGGTCTGCGGGTGCTGAATGCTTAAGGCTGGCTGGACAGGGTTGGTCAACCATCCTGACTTTGCAGTCAGTTCAATCCAGAGCTCCACCAGCTGTGTGACTTTGAACAAGACACTTGCTCTCTCTGACCCTCAATGTCTGTATCTATAAAAAGGGAAGAACATGCCCCAGAGTCAGGGGGGGAAAGGCATCTGGCACACAGTAGGCACTCAGTAAATGCTGACACTATTAGGAATATCTGGGCCAAGAAGCTGAGGAAACTCAGACCTTTTTAGCATCTCTTTCTCAAACTAGGATTGCTCATCTAGGAGCACCCCCGTCCCCACCTCTGCTCCCAGATGATCATCTACACCCTTCACTCTTCCCACTGCATGGGTACAGTGCCTGCATGCCCAGGGTGTGCCACCGTTAATTGCACATTGATTGCAGGAGCTAATTTGAATTCTGCCCAAGCCAAGAATGACTCCAGCCACCCCCAGCTTGCCGAGTGGCAGGCTTTGCAGAATTCAAGGTTAACGGATTACGAATTGCCTTACTCCTGTGGGTGAGCCCCACTCACTGCCAGCTGCTGCCACTCTGCCTGGGGGCAGGTGAGACTAAAGCATTGTGGGCAATGTCTCTGCCCACCTGGTGTGAGGATGGCCAGGGGAGGCCTGCACTTGCTTATCAGAGCTCCTTTCTGGCCCCAAGCAAGGAATCTGTAACTATTTTCAGAAGGAGAACTTCTGGCTTGCAATGGTGCATTCCAGTATTAGTTAATGTGAACCAACAGCCACAAGGAATCTGCTGCCCTCAACAGGCATGCAATGTGTAGCATCTGAGCCTGTCCACGATTAAATCCAGCCCTGGGGTGTGCACTGACGTGATACTTCCTTGGCCTTGAGATTCACTTAGTATTCACATGGCAGGACATGGTCCTTTCAAGCTGGGAACTCTGTTCTGGGGCAAAGGGAGGGGCTCAAAGCAAGGGGAGCCCAGAGGAAAAAGTCTCAGGGACTACTCTTCTTAAGCAACACCCAAGGGAAGCAGAGACCTCTGTGATATCCGCTCAGAGAAACCCAACCTCTTGCTCACTGAGCAGCCACTGTATGCTCAGCTCAGGAAAGAAGAGAGAATATGAGTGACATTAATAAGACTGGTGCAGACTGCACAGGGGTGAAGGGCAGGAAGGGGTTAGGTGTGGGCGGAGCTTGGAGGAAGATCTCATAGGAAGGTGCATTGGAGCAAAGCCGGGAAGGAGGTGAAGGAGACCAGGAGGCACTCTGCCAGGGAAAGAAAGTTCCTAGTAGGGGAACCAATGATCAGTGGGGGGAGGGGAGGGACTGAGGCCCTGGGGGTGATGGGGATGATGGGGCTGGGGGGAGGGAGCACAGCCTGAACAGGAGACAGCAAGGGAACAGCAGGAAAGGACATACCCCAGAGGTCTGAGTCATGTGGGGGCTGCAGAGGGTCTGGGCAGAATCTAATGATCAGGAGAGGATCACTCCAGCTACTAAGTGAATAAAGATGGCTGCTGATTGGCTGGGGGGAGGTAAGTGACACCAGGGGCTCAGGCAGGATGGTATAAAGGCCAAGGAAGCTCTGGGTTATTTCTGTTTGCTTTCTTGCTCTAGGCAATGCAACCCAGGGTTGGATGGGACCCAGGGTCGGATCTGCTAGGCAAGTGCTGAACCAAGGAGCCTTCTGGGGAGCGGGGTGGTGTTGGAAGGCAAACCCAGCATGATTTGTTCAAGGCAAAATGGAACACAGGATGTAAGGACGTTTGTCAGGGGCATCTGCAAGGTCAGGGGCTCATAGAGAAAAATTCAAATTGCGATTGATTTTGCGCTTCCACCAGAGCTGAGGGTAGAGACCAGTAGGAGGAGCTACCTCTTGGGTCTGCCTTCCCCACAACACTCTTAATGCATCAGCAAGTCCCTTGAATACCATGGATATCTTGATACCAAATGATGGCAGAGCTGCAGCCAGGCAGGGTGGCATACCCTGAACCCCAGAAGTGGGGGCAGGAGGATTATGAGTTCCAGGGAAGCCTGGGCTACGTAATGAAATAACAGTCATAGCTGCATTGACCTTGGCAACAGACAGGGTTTGGGTGCGGTTTAAAGTACTAGAAATTTGTACCCAAGGCCTTGGTACTCACTTCATCCCACTGCCAAAGCCGAGGCCTGACAACAGCCTTCCGTCCCCAGCCCTCACCTGAGCTGCCCACCTCTGCACCTGCTGGCAGCGGCCCAGCCACATCTCACCTCAGCTTGCCCTGCAAACACCACCGGCTTCTGCTCACATCTCCACTGCCATGACAACACCAAACCCCTCTGTGGTCCCTGACTCTGCACATGTACCAAGCTGTTCCCACTGCCTAGAATGGCCTTACCCCCTCATCCCGAGTGTCCACTCCTGCTGCCCTGGCAACTGCTGTCTGTCCCTCTCTGATCCCCAGTATTAGTGATTCATCTAAACGGTGAGGTTTATCTTCAGACCTGTTTCTCTGATGGGCCTGGGGCCCTCCAGATCCCCTATGCTGGCTGCTAGCAGTTCAAATCCGGCCAGAAGCATGTTTGGTTTGGCTTGGATAAAGTTGGCACCGCAATGTGCCAACATTTCCTCATTGGCCACATTCAAGAATCTAAGATTTGTCATAAAAATGCAGGCTTCAGCTTCTCTTACAAGATCAGATGACCTCCCAGCACTAGGCCTGCAACTGTGTCTGGCAGACATTGGTCGACACCTCTGTAGGAAAACCAGAGCAGCCACAGGGCCTCCACCTTCCTAGCACTTAGGGAATCTGCAGGTGCCTTTGAGTGTGAGAATCAGAACAAAGTTCTCTCTCTCTCTCTCTCTCTCTCTCTCTCTCTCTCTCTCTCTCTCTCTCTGTGTGTGTGTGTGTGTGTGTGTGTGTGTGTGTATCAAGGTCCAAAGGTCAACCCCCAGTGTTACTCCTCAGAAGAATCCACCTTGGTTTTTGAAACAGGGTCTCTCACCAGAACCTTAGGCTTCTGGGTTAGGCTAGGCTGGCTGACCATCTCTGCCTCCTGAGCCCTGGGATCATAAGTATGCCTTAGCACAGCTGGGTTTTTAAGTGGGTGCTGATGTTAGGTCCTCATGTTTGTGTGGCAACCACTTTACCATCTGAGCTACCGTCCCAGCCCTGTCTCCCATGCTCAAACACAGGACAGTGATTGCCCTTGGGAAGGGAACAGTGGATAGGACAGACTGCAAGGGAAGCTTTGGGACTGGTCACTCGGTGTGTTCAGCTCATGAAAACTCACTGGCTGTACGGTTGGGAATTGTACATTTGTTCTACATAAAACAAAATTCACCAGAAAAAAATAATTGCTATTAAAAATGAAAGTGGTACTTTTCAGGAAATACAAACATGCTTTGAAGGGAATGTTCCCAGGGGACTTGGGCTTCCACACTTCCTTGGAGTCAGCTGCTGCAAGCCGGCTCCTTCTAAGCTTCCTGATTCCTAAACCTTCAGAACAGAGCCCCAAGCCTCTAGGCTCTCCTAATTATAGCAAGTGATTAGGCAGTTGCCAATTACTGGGGAGGTTTTTAAACAATCTCACAGTGTCGAAGCCAAAAGCCCACTTCATTTCTCCACACCCCTCAAGATGCCAGCATGGCCATGCTACTCGGGCAGGGTTTTTAGAAGAGGAAGGGACCCAGAGCTCTGTACAATTAAAGCCTTCCCTCCCAGAGGGCAGGGTCTCCAGGGAGAAAGGAACCAGCCTCATTAGATAGTGATGGCCTGGAACTCCTCCTCCACTCATGTTTGTGCTGCCCAGTATAAAATCCAGGCCCATATACGTGAGGCAAGTGCCCTGCTGGCAGCCCCACTAGCAGCCTCTCAGCTTATTCTTCAATGGTGGCACAGCCAGCCTTTTGAGCTCTTCAGGAAGTTTCTCTCAGTCCTTGCACAACACTAGAGTATCCATGAACAAGACAAGATCGGAAGCCAGGCTGCATAGCATATCCCTGTCATCCTGATACTTGGGAGGCAGGTTAGTCATTAGTTCAAGATCACTCTGTGCTACATTGTAAGACATTGTCTCAAAATGCAAGGCACAATAGCAAAGACAATAAAAAGAAGACACACTAGGGCCGCACCTTCATGGAGGGTCAGCTCCAGGGGAAGACATTAATAAGGTGATAGCTAAGAATCCCTTAGTTACCAATGTG